CAGGAACCACAAGCCTATGCTTAGTCTATGCTTTAAACAGTTCACAAGAAATGCTGACATGAAGTCCCTCCATGGTGTCTCCCGTAAGTGGCTGCCCTTGATGGTCTGAATGCTTACCTCTCACTTGTGTTGCTGAAGAAATGCAGGTGACAGTACACAGGGTTTCCCTGTGGTGGGGTGAGCCACTGCCCACTGGGTGATGATTATATGGGGGGGCAGTGCCCTGAGTTAGACCCTCTCACATCCTCCTGCCTCTGCATGTGGGCCCTGTAGTGACCCTTCCTCCTATGGACAAAGCCAACATGGGAGTTAGCACAGACACTCCCTGGTTCCACCTCTAGACAGCTGGGGGACTTTGTACAAACCTGGACTATAGCTTAAGCTTCAGAATTCTTATCTGTAAATAAGTCAAAGTTGGACCACATCCTCTATATCTTTAAAGTAACCGTTGGCCTTGGAGGAGGGGGAGTAAATTGGAGACCCAGCCACAACCCTCAAAAACTAATGATGCTGAACACACTGCACCAAAAAGACAAACCGCAGGAAACTGCAAATGGTAGAAGTCATGGAAACTCCCGTTGTCCAACAGCATTCACAACACTACCTCCAGCAATAACCATTCTCTGGTGAATCCTGACACAGCACAAAAGAGGCTGGGCTTTGCGCTGCTCCCCAGAGCACAGACAGCACAGAAGGGTCGTGGTAGAGGTCACCTGAAGGTCTGGTGAGTCCGAAGATGCACTCCTATCTTCCTGCCCACAGTCTCAAATGGCCCCTGGGCCAGGCCACAGCCTTGCTGCTGTGCCTGGGTGGGATAGGGCTGGATTAGCTTGAAGGCAGAGCGACTGACTGCTGTTTGTGTGGGTTCTGTTCGTACACCGCTTTTCTCCAAAGCACTCCACCTGTTTTTGCAAATAACTATTACAAGCCTTTTCTGAGCAAGCCGAGAAGAGACAAGCTCACCAAGGCAGCAGCATCTGTTCTTCAGCCTGAGGACCTGACGAGAGCCCAGCTTCCTCAGCTGACATGCCTGTCAGAGCCCATGATTCACAGCACAGCCTTTGGCGAGCTGCCTGCAGAAGCAATGACGTGCACGGCAGATGTGACGGCACTCACAGTGTTGGCCACTGGCAGGGTCTGAGGTGACGGAGCTCCTTGTCACGTGAAGAGTGTGAAGAGCGGCAAAGAGCGAGCCCTGTCCCCCGGGCTCCTCCTGTGAGGTCATGAGGTTCACGGAACAGTCTCAGGCCCCACAGCCTCTCCACAATGATGAACTCTATTTCAGTTTTGTTTTGTTTATCTTTCTGTTTTGTTTTGTTGTTCCTTTCTTTTTTTGTTTTGTTTTGTTTGTTTTTTTTTTTGAGACAAGATCTCACTATGTAGTCCCGGATGTCCTAGAACTCACAATGTAGTAGACCAGGTTGGCCTTGAACTCAATGAGATCCACCTGTCTCTGCCTCCCGAGTGCCAGAATTAAAGGTGTGTGCCACATCTATGCCTGGCTTGAACTCTGTTTGGGGCTAGGCTCACCCTATAGGAGTCTCTTTCCAGATCTGACATTTTTCTGAGATTCCCCCTGCTGGTTGCCCACATGACCATGCTCAAGAATGAGCCCAAATGGAAGCAGGTCAGTTATGTTTCATCACTTATGTCTAGGCGTGACAAGCTGTGTCCAGGCAACTGTGTTTTGGAGTCTCAGGGGAGGCTGAGCAGAGCCCAGGTTGCCCCACCAAGTTCCGAGCTTCAGGGTAGGCTGGGAGTTCTGCAAACTGCATCTGCGTACCTGTGCAGCTGGTAACCTTTCCTGATCCGGGCTGATGACCCATGTGCCTCCCTGCTTGGCCGTGAGGTCCTTCCAGTCCCAGGCTCCTCTGCCCTCCGCAACCTGGACACACGATGGTCCCCTAGATGGCCCTGCAGAATGGAGCAGGGGAGCTACTTAGTGTGGAGTTTGAATTCAGTTAGGAAAACCAAGAGGAGAGTTTTCATCTGACCCAAGCATCGGTGTCTCCAGGAAGATCTCAGACAAATACTCTGGGCAGAACACGCCAGAGGCAAACTTTGGGCGCCTCTATTAGATTTATACTAACTGACCCTCCAGCTCCAGGCCTGGAAGACTCAGATATTTCCTCTAAGTACTGATCTTCAAGGGTAGGGATCCTCAAGGAGGGGAACTGGGCTACCAGTCACAACAAGTCCTCTATTCCAGGCCCTGAAGACTTTAGACAGAGTTCTACAGGTACAAGGAAGTGGGAGATGATTTTGGTTCACAAGGAAGACATCTCCCTGCCTGGTGAATAGTTCACCAGCTTGCCTTGACTGAAGGTCAGTAGATGGCATGTGCTGTAGAACCTACTAGAGTGAGTGGCCAGCACTCCTCCCCGATATGTGTTCTTTCCTTCGCTGAAACCAAGAAATTGATTCTAGGACATTTATTTCTAGGACAACCAAGTTCTCACCAGAAGGGAAACAAGGCAAAATTCATGGCCCAAGAACCGGAACATCTAGCCAGGCTACATTTGACTCTTTCCCACCCTCCATGCTGATGGGCAAACAGCAGCTACCTTGATACTGAGGAACTCTACTCCACTATAGGGATGCCACTGCCCATGCTGGTGATGTCAGGAGCAGGGTAGGTTGTTGTTATTTTGCTTCAGTTGCAACTGTGGGTGATGAAACACGAAACTCAACAAAGACATGAGGAATTTACTGGGGAAAGGGAGCAAAGAGAGGCATAGGTGTTAGCTAACCAGGCACGAGATAGGAGAGAGACAGAGATGGAAGGGGGTGGGAGGCACTTGCTTAAAAGGGAAAGCTTGCAAATGCATACAGAGTCCTTACGCAGCCATGTAACGCATGACACAGTCATACATAACACAGGGCCCTTTGAGCCGTCTAAGTATCTACCTGAAAGCTGGTGTGTTTATCCTGCCCATTGTCAGGGAGCGGGGTCAGCATAATGCCAGGTTACCAACATAGGTGTCCTTGGGAATCAGTCTTGTTGTCATAGGATACAAGCTACCCAATCTGACACTTTCTAGAATACAGCAGGTTATTGATTTATTAGTACTAGTTATGACTAGCAGTTGGAATTAAAATTATCCACCTTGTATGGAACTGCAGTACAAAGAGGTGGAGGAACTTGTCTGAGATCACACGATGAGTGAAGGAGCTGAGATGTGAGTTCTGTGGTCTTCTTCCAGAATTTTCTATAGCTTGACCATGAAGACAGGGCACCAAGAGAGCCCGTAACTCTGAAAGGCCAGTGACCAGAGTTACCCAACAACTTCCAACTGGAGAGAAGTGGTAATGAGGGCCTATCTGCCTAGGAGATGGTTAGGGTAGGAACGGTCTGGGCACTGGGGATCAAGGGGACTTTGTGTGATTGAGTGACCTACAAGAACCACTAGAATTTCACAGGCAGGTAATATGACTGATGGAACAAAGAAGGAAAGCAAATCAGCCTTCTGAGCCTGCAAGCTGGGAGAACTTCAGTTCTGGAGGCAGGTGGGAGACGCAATCCAAGCTCCAAGGAGCATATGGGCCAGCTAGCTTCTGTTCTTGCCCGTGCCCACTGGAGTACCCTTGGGGCTAAGTTGCTTAGCTTTCATTACCTCTCCCTCAGCCAAGGGACTGGGCAAATTGGGTAGAAGTTGACCCCTCCAAGGCCCCTTCTCTGTGCCTGGCATTTGGGCCACAGAAGAGGCGCAGAGCCTGCTTGATCTGATCATAGCTGACACCATGTGTGTGTGATGCCAAGCGCACTCTCTCTGCGGGAAGAGCTACTGCCCTCCCTGGCTGTGCGTCTGCTCAGAGCAGCCCTCTCCTGTAGCGTCCTTTGGGAGATGTAATTACATGCTTTGTTAGGAGTCACTGATCTTGTCTTGGCTTTGCTCAAACGCTTATGGGTGGAGGCAGGGAGGAGCTCACAGAGGACAGAGCAAGGCAGGGCTGAAGGCAGGTTTGGAGGGAGGGTTGGCAACCCTTTTCATGAGGGCAGAGGAGTGCAGCTAATAATTCTGGGTGCCCATGGGGTAGCTGGCGAAGGACAGCCTGACTCATGAGATGCTGCCAGACAGGGAATTAGCTTCCCTGGGAAGCAGGACACAAAGAACCTGAGGTAGAATCAAGTGGATGCAGCTGACTGCACTGTACCCACCAGGAATCCAGAGCTAGGGTAAACAGCTCCCAGGAAGAGCTGCATCCCGGGCTATACAAATACCCTGGGTTAGCACTCACCGGGGATCCCGGAGGTGGGGGAAAGGATGGAAGATATTTCTGCCCCAGACAGAGGCTGTGATGTACGTGACCCACTGCAGATGCATCACTTCTCACACACCAGAAAGAACACCTGCACATGCTCATACCCTCCCGCAAACATGTGCAAACACACACAAGCACACACGTGGCATCTGGCTGTGTCTGGCCGGGACTCCATCTGTGTCAGTCTCATTAGGAAGTTCATGTCAGTGCTGACCACTGAGCCCAGAGCCTTTCACATGCTGGGCTGAGGTATGCCACTCACCTGTCTTCTCTGGGCCTTTTTGGTTTGGTTTGGTTTTGGTTTTTTTCTTTTTCTCAAGACAGGGTTTCTTTGTGTAGCTCTGGCTGTCCTGAGACTCACTCTGTAGACCAGGCTGGCCTCAAACCCACAGAGCTTTGCCTGCCTCCGGCTCCTGAGTGCTGAGATTAAAGGTGTGTGCCATCATGCTCGGCGTCCCCTGGGTCTTTTTAAATTTTTAGTTTTCACACAGTCTTGCTAAGTTGCCTAAGATAACCTTGAATTCACTCTGTAAGCCAAGCCAGAGCTTGAACTTGCCATCCTCCTGCCTCAGCCTCAGTCTCCATTCACTTGGATAAAAACCCACTGATGATTTCTTGGTGCAAATATTCTCGCTGGCTACCACTGGGGCAACTGGTTGCTGCTGATGGACAGAGCCACCAAACCAGTTGCTGTCGGCAAGAAGCCAGCCTTGAGAGAAGCAACTCTTGCGTGTGCTCTCCCTGCGAGCTCTCCTTCCAACCAGGGCGTTGTTTGAGGTAAAGATTGGTCTTGCTTAGCCCTGCAGCAGGGTGTAGGGGACAGTCCCATAGGCTCAAAAGGCTCTACCTAGTAAGGCCTTCCTACCTCCAGGGACCTCTCCTGTGCTGCTATTGCCCAGGGAGGAGGAAGGATGATGCTTCTCTGCTGTGACCTTTCTGCTAGGAAAGCTCTCAGTTGCTCACAGCCTGGAATACATAACGTGATATTTACTGGAAAGGTGACCTGCATTAACTGCTAAGGTCAAGTGCACTGTTGGGGGATGGAACCCTGCGACAAAGAAGCAGGATTACAGCTACCCATCCCCCAGGAGTGTGAACTGAATCCAGAAAGGTTGAGAACCTTCTCTTGGGCAATGTCCACAGCTTCCTGTCATCGATGGCGGCTTCCTTCACCTGCAAGTTTCCTGTCAGGAGTAAACAAAGGTGAGGTCTGGCTGCAGGGGTTAGTTTGCTGAGTTCTTGGGAGGAGCAGAACTATTTCATTTAACCCTTCTGGGGAATTCATCAGTTCTTTCTGGATTTTCAAACCCATTCTTAAAAAAAAAAAGAAAAGAGAGAAAGAAGACAAAAATCCCAGAAGACTTCCCTAATAGTCCTAAGGAAAATCAAAAAAAGAGAAAGGCCTGCTGAAGGGAGCTGCCAAAGATTGAACTCTGCCTATGGTTTGCAAATGCCTCCGAGAGCCAGGCACTATCTGAGGTAAAATACTGTTTTCTCTGATTGCAGAGGTATCACTCTTTGGTTTTGTTCTCATCTGACATCATCCCCAGATCCTTTGGAATGCAGACACAGTTCCCGAAAGCCTTATGGGAAGCAAAGAGCATGGGCTTGGGACTAAAGCACCTATGTTTATGTCCCGGCTCTGCCTTTTCCTGGCTTGGTGACTGCTGTGGGCGAGTTCCCAATGTTCTCTCAGCCCCAGTTTACTATCTACAGGAGATAATTATGTGAGGTTGCAAAAACCTAGCAGGCTCAATGCAGAAGCAGTCAGGGGTTAACTAACCTGGGGCACTGGGCCCAGAAGCCAGCCCAGCCTGGCCCTCCTGTTCCCTTCTCAGTGAGACTCTTGGCTCTCTGCCTCAACGTGTATGTGTTGGGTGGCTGCACACATCCAAGACTGGGACCTACACTCAACAAGGTCAGGAGAAAGAAGGTCGTCCCCGCAGTCACTCTCTCAAGAGGAGGCGAGCTTTCCCCCCAAGGCCCTTGGTGGTACAGTGCCTCTCTTGTAAAACCAGGATTCCACGGGATCACAGATGGCCTGCTCAGCTGTCTTGGTCATCCCAGAAAGGATAAGTGGCCTGTCCAGGAAGGAGAGACTCCAGGATAAACTGTTCGTAGGTTCTATGGCTCAACAATTTCCTCATGCCATGCCCCTCACCCTGCCCCTGTAAAGGGTCACCACCAGTGTTTTCCTCTGGCAGACCATCCCTTAATGCCCCTCACTGTGTACACTAAGAAACACGGGCCATCTGTTCAAGGCCAGACTCCTGTCTCTTTCTGCCTTCTGTCACTTTCGATGCCTCAGAAGTCTAATACTTGGCACCTTCCTTTTGCTTTCTGTGGCCCAAAGAAGTCACAAATAATTTTTTTCTACATTGCATATTAACCCAAGGCCCCACACATGCTATGCAAGCATTTTACCTCTGAGTTGCAGCCTCAGGCAGGCCTTGAACTTATGATACTCCTGCCTCGGCCTCCTTGCTGTTAGAATTTGAGGCCTGGGCTACAGGCCTGGTTTATGTGTCATTTTAATGACTTGCTGTGGCATGAGGCATATCACACGTTAACCGGCCCTGAGCTCAGTCTACTGGTGGCAAAGGAGTCATCTTGGATTAGTTAGGCATCCCTGGAGGTAGGAGTCAATTCCTCTCCTGGAATGACCAGAGCTTGAGAAGCAGGGAGAGGAGATGATTCTGCTGCTTAGATGGGCAGCAAGTCTCAAGTCACCTCTCAGGAGGAAGAGAAGGAAATAAGATATGGGCAATCCTTAGCCCTGCCTCACACACACACACACACACACACACACACACACACACACACACACACACACACACAAGTACTAGGGAGCTCAGGGGCAGAAGACAGGGAGATTACTACATATGAAGTGAATCCAGAAATGCGACCCCAGTTCAGACAGCGGACTTCTAAATCCCTGTATATTCTACCACCACTCCAGAACAGTTAGTTCAGTTGTGAACATCTTCACAATGCTTTTGAACTCTAGGGTAGGAGTTAAATGACCACCACCAACTCTCTGGGAAGTCTTATCTCCTATTAATTCACTATTAGTTATTTGTCAGCTTCATAAGTGGACTCACGTTACGTCCATAGTGCCTGCAATGCCACAGTGCTGTCCAATAGAATGTTCTGTAATGAGGGTGACTATTGTACTACCACATGGTAGCCACACCCCCGGGGGGGGGCTTAGTAAGCACACACACAAAATGTAGCAAATAAGATTTAGAAGTTAATGGTTTTAATCATTTTTTATTTTAATTTAAATAGCCCCGACAAAGTCAGTGATGACTCTGCTGAACTATTCCTGTAAACTCTATCTTCTTGACACCTGAGGCCGAAGTTTCTACTGCCTTACCTTACCTCGTGTTCTGCCAAGCATGAGTCTTTGGAGGGCCTCTGTAAATGTGTCTGACCAACCCAACCGGCCAATTCTGTTTGCAGATTCCTGAGCAGCCCCATGGTGCAAGGGAGGACTGAGAGCCTAGGCATCAGTATGCTGCCGTGGAGAAACGAGCGGCCCACATGGGTACAGACAGAGCTCGAGCGTCCTCTGTTCTCATAGCCCTGGCTTGCAAGCGCTCCATGGAGACTGTCCCTGCCTGGGACAGCAGGTGTGTGTGTCAGCTGTACGTGTGACAGTGGCCCTGCTAAGCGGATCGGTCTTCCCGGACGCGGGTCCTGCCTTCTGAGCCACAGCTCCTTCCTGTCCCCTGCTTTCTTGTGGCTCTCACTGAGGCCGCACATGTTTGACAAGAGGAGGGAGACCAGCTTCCAGAACTCGAGACCCGATCGCATTCTGTCCTCACCGCTAACGGAGTTGTCCCTTCTCCCGTGATGCTCAGCTCATGCTCAGTGGTCTTTGTCTTTGAGTTACTGTAGCCTGGGTGATGCCCCTTCTGGGAGATTGTGGGCAGCCGCGTCCTCTCTCCTGGTAGAGGGCCATAAAAGCCCTCTTGGCTCCATGGTGTCCTCAGGTAGATTGACTTCCATCCTCCATCACTGTCAAGATGACCAAAGCCACCATCTTTGAAAGTGTCCAGAAGGGGCTTGGGAGTGTCCCTGAGCTGCAGTGGGGAGCAGCGCATTGTAAGATCCAGTGTATTAAAAAACCTCAACTGAGCCTTGAGGCTTCGGCTCCAGATGAAGTGCTGCCTCTTCGGGTATTTATCACGGTCTGTGCGCCACCTAGAGGCCTCTGTCTGAAACTCGTCCTACGGCCAACCCGGCTGTCCCCAGCAGAAGACTGAACTCAGAGTATGCTTTGTTTTTGTCCCCGTCTTTCCAAATTTGGGATGTTGTGATCCCACATACTCCTCTCAGCACTCCTGGATGTGGAGGAGGCTAGGCCCCCCCGAGGCCTTTCCAGTATGTCCCAGCTGCCAGCTGTACCAAAGCAGAAGACTGTTCTAATGTTTTCTCAGCAAGGAAGGATCTAAGACTGATGAGGGGATGTAGTGGGACTTCCCAGTCCCCGTGCCCCCCCCCACCACACACACACCCGGGAGCTGTCCACCCACACATGAGCAGCCCTCCCAGCCATGATTTTCCCATGAGTCCCCAGGACTGAAGACCCCTTCCCATGAGTCACCCTCCCAGGACCGGGTCTTTTCTACACAACTCACATTAGCAGCCGTCCACAGCAGGTGACGCTGCTCCAGGAACGCTGACACCAAACCAGTAGTGAGCATGCTCCTTGGTCTGCTTCCCCACGGTAAAGTGCGAACAATACAAAATGCACCGTTTGGGCCATCTTTTGATGGACGGCTTACAGGGATTCAGCGTCTTCTCAATGCTCTGTCGCCATCATGGCTACCCATTCCCAGACATTTCACTGAACTCCAAACAAAAAACTCTGCCCCATGAAACACCAATTCCCCCCGTACTTCATCCTCCCCAGCGCCTAGGGACCTCTGTCTGTCTTCCTGTCTCTCTGGACTTGCCTATTCCAGGTATTGCACACAAGTGATATCAAATTTAGCCGAGTAATTTTAGTTGTGGCCAATTTACTTCAGCTTTATAGGCCTGGCTTCCCTTTCCACCCTCTCCGTAAACAAAACAGGAAAAGAAGGAACATAACTGACTTAACCTTGCTGGCGCCCCACCCTGGCCACACTCTCTGGCTGGGTGTGATCCTGGAAATGGATTCAGCCATCTGGCAAGAAGTCTCCGGGCAGAAGAGTCCATTGTTTGAAGCTTAGAGGTCTTAATGTCTTAGCTGGCATTTCCTGGCCTGGCTTTAAAGGGATCCAAAGAAGGCTGTCACTGTGTGTTATAGACTAACAAAGAAACGCGCACAGAGGCTCATATTTCAAAGGTTTGGTCCATCTGGTGGCAGTGTTTTGGGAGATTTTGGAGGTGAGGCCTAGCTGGGTACAGGCCCTCACGGGAACATTATCACCTCTGGTCTCATTCTCTGCCCCTGATGCAGCTGCCTCGATGTAACTGGATTTCTCCACCACCACCCCCCACCGCAATGGACTGAACCATCCTAAATCATGCGCCCCAATAAAGCCCCTCTCCTTCAAACTGCTTTTCTCAGGCTCTTGGTCATAGCAATACAAAGGTAACTAATACTCTGTGAGAGATGACAGGGGGCTGGCTGCCGTGATATCTTGTTTGTACTCTAGCAAGTAAAGCTTGCCTGAAGATCAGAGGGCGAAGCTAGCCTCTAGCTAACCATAGAGGTCTGGAGGTTTGTACAGACGGACAGGAAGTGAGATGGCTGGGCAGAGAGAGGACTACAGGCTGGAGGGCAGAGGAACTCGGGGCTCTTTTCTGTCTGAGGATGTCATAGAGGTAAGAGCTCTGATCGTTCAAGCGTTCACCCCCTGATAACCGACTCCAGGTTTTTGTTATTAAGATCAATTAGAATTTGTGCTACAGTTGGCCCAGCACAAATGTTGGTAAGGAGGGAATCTGGCCATGGGGGCTTGAGGCCTTGAGGGCCAGGGCTCATTTGGTGTCAGGTGCATCCTGGTCGGAGGGTGATCCAATGGGTTGTCTGTTCCTAAAAGACCATATGAGATGTTTTCCCTGATGATGCCTGGTCAAATTACATACCTGTGCAATGGTGCACTGGGAGCATTAACTACATAAGGAATTTTGTGTCCTTTATGTCAAAAGTGGAGACTTTCTCATTCCAGGCCTTTCAGGCACTAACAGCCCGAATTCCACCCAGATGTCTTTGTATTTATGGTTATTAAAACTTCCTTTTTAAAAATTTCCACTTTTGTCCAACCTAACAGAAAGGTTAAAAATTACAACATGAGCAGAACGTGGGAGGTACTTAAGAATGAAAATAGGGGTAAATTGAAATCAATAAAGTTTTGTAGATTATTTCTTCTGGATAATTCAGTGGCCAAGGAATGCAAACATAATTTCATGTTTCTCAAATTCCTTTGGAGGTGGGTCAAAGGGGTTAAGCCAGAAGTGCAGTCAGTAGGAGTTAGACTATTTTGAAGTTTTCACTTGAAATTGTTTTTGATACAGCCTGAGAATCGGTTACATCAGGCTGTCTGTGAAATGTAGAAAGAGCTAGAGCCTTCCATCGAGCTCTTTCTCCGTGGAACTGTTAAGTTTGATACTGTTCACGGTTTATTTTGTTTACAGTGTCAGCTAGACATGACTTCATGCTTGCATGAGAAAACCCAATTGCTTTCTCCTTCAGGGTTTTCTGTAACTATTTCTCAGGTTCTTCTGAGCGTCCAGTTGTCTAGTAGGAGAATCTTTTTAGCTCAGAATTTAAATTGCTCTGAATTTTGAAGAGCCCAAATCTTAGGTAAATAGCCTTACATTAGAAATGAATGACCATTGTTAATTAAGTAGGTTTGTTTGTTTTTTAGTGCTAACCCTCGGTCTGACATAAATGATCAGACTCTGGCAAGGTAGGAAGCTAGAGGAGGCTCGCCAGATCCTACCCTCCATTGAAGACATTACACACAGTATTCCAGGCTTCTGGTGCATAATTAGTAGTGAATAGCTCTCACATCAGCTTGACATCTGGACCTAGGGATGTCTGTGTCGAGGGCTTCCTCAGCTGTCGGGTGTGTAAAGACCTGTGCTTCAGAGTGTTCTGCAGGGGTGCACAGCGCCTCTCCCTAACTAGGCAGCTGCAGAGCATAGCTCCGGGCATGGCATGGGGGCTGGGGACTCCAGGAAAACATCACTGTGTCATACCTGGAACTTGACTTCATATATGCATTTTCTTTCTAGGACTCCCATTAGAACTAACAACTGATAATGGTTCTGTTTATACTAGCAACTAATTTATGGAATACTAGTAAAGTGATTGGAATCCTTACAATCCACAGGGTGAAGCTATTGTGGAATGACACCATCAAATACTTAAGTGGCAAATTTTAAAAATAAAAAGGGGGTATACACCCATCCTCAAATGCAATGCTAAACTTAGCCATGCTAACTTTGTCACTTAAAGGGGACAGACACAGCCTAAAGTGTGTGTTATATGGAAAGATCTAGAAAGCAGTCAATAGAAAGGTCTGATCTTCAGTATGAGGTTATGCTTGTATCTTTCTGGAAAATGAATGAAGCCCTAGATATCTCCTTTTCCAATGTATCTGACCAGATGTCATCCTAGAGACCACCAGACAGCTAAATTGGCTGAACATAGATGACAAACCCATCTAGAGGAGATGTCCCAAGAGGAAGAGTAAGCCAGTGACTTAGGGAAATGACAAGGACACAATACTACTGACCCCAAAATGAGGGTGTCATATTTACTGACTGTATTACATGTTAATTCCCAGCTTGTTAATGCAGAATCCAAATGCCCTTTGTCAGGGGAGCTACAAGGCACACCTGTAATAGGAGACTTGATGATATTGTTTTTCCATGTTAAGGACTGTTTGGGGGGGTTGTTTTGGTTATGTAATTAGTAAAACTACTAATATAGCAAAATACTAGCAGAAATTAATCAAGAGATGGGAGAATTGAGATCCACAGTTTTTTTTAAATAGAGCTACTATGCTATAATCTAGTATAGATTACTTGTTCAAGCATAATTTTGGGTGTCAACTATTTCCTGGCATGTGTTGCTTTAGTGTATCAGATTTCTCTCATACAATCAATGGTCAAATTAATGATCTGCAGGAAAATAACTCAGTGGTTCACAACCATCTGTAACCCAGGGGATCTGACTCCATATATGCAGTCAAAACACAAGCATGAAATCATAAAATAAACCTTTTTCTTTAATTAGTCATCTGTAGAAAGAAACCAAATCTCTTAAAGAGACCTTTGCATGGCCATCATGGTTAAGATGGCTTTCCCCTTTCCTTTTGTTTTTTGTTTTTTGTTTTGTTTTTGTTTTTGGATTTTGGAGACAGGGTTTCTCTGTATTGTTTTGGAGGCTGTCCTGGAACTTGCTCTGTAGACCATAGATCCACCTGCCTCTGCCTCCTGAGTGCTGGCATTAAAGGTGTGCGCCACCAACGCCTGGCTGGCTTTCCCCTTTTCTTGGTTCCTTGGTCCTCTGTTGGCTATTCTTACAGTCCTATTATGCTTGCCTCTACTAGTTAGACTAGCCATGCAGGCATTGCATTCGACCTTGGTCTCTATTACAGCCACAATTTTCTCTTTACAAATTTTTAAAAAGGGTGAGATGTGGGAGGTGTGGAGGTCCTTGTGCTCACAGATCAGCACTAGGAGAACCGGGAATCTTCAACGCACGGGGTGTTCTCTTCAAAGAGAGAGATGCATAAAACCTGTTTCCCACCCAGAAGGCTGGGAATGGATGTGGCTCATAGCCTGGTGACCTTCATGCTATCAGGGTGGCCAAAACCACACCAGATCCTCCCCCAGATCCCTATCATGAGCTTGTCAATCTATAGAACCTGACTTTATGGAAGGTGTCATATGTACTTTATGACACAGTCATGTCTTAAGCTTTATTGTACACATAGGATTAAGTCAATTATCACCAGAAAACTTTCACCAAATTGTGCTGTGCTTATTTATGACCCAAAAAAATTACTCAGGGTCAGTTTCTCAAAGTTTGAACCAACACTGGTTACTTAGTCTTGTTGAACCAAATTGCCTTCTTGCCTCTCCCAGACCATTACTCTGCTGGCCTTGGTGGTTGTAGAGACCCCCACAGTAGAGTAGGGTGTGTGCCTGGAGTATTTGGGATAGGTATAAAAGCAGCACTCCCTGGGTGATGTACTCCATTGAGATGTGCAACCCTTCCCAGGTTGGTAACAAGAAGTCTGGGGGAGAGCCCACACCCCCCCCCCAGGTCATAGGGATCTCACAAACCAGTCAGAACCTTGACATGAAAATGTAGGGACCCTTCATGCCATCTTCCTGGAAACCTCACAAATGTAAGCAGCCATCAGTACGGGTTTGGAAACCACTCGTCACACTGTTTGGGTGGTAGACTTATTTTGTGGGCCTTCACTTGTTATTACATATCAAAATTTGCTTTCCCGGGCCTTTAGTTAGAGTCATAGCAGTAGCTGCTGTGTTGGGATGCTTTCCCTGTGTGTGATACTGCCTGTGTCACTCTCCTGAGGCCCCGGCAGCTTCCAGCACTTTCCTCGTTTTACAGATGAAGGCGCAGCCTCTTAGAAAGGCTTCCTGCTCCGTTACCAAGATTACTGCCAGCAGATGGTCGCTCCTAAATGTTAACCCCCGTATTCTGCTGTTGCGGACTCTCTCGGTAATCACGAGGCCTCACTGCTGCAACTCAAATGGAAAAGATGGCCCGCTGCCTGACCCCACTCCTCCCCATTCATGCTCTCCGAGGAACCAGTTTTATCCCAGCAAGCGAAGGTGATATTTCTCGGGCTCACTTTCAGCGAGACCCATTCAGCGAAGTAGAAGCCATAAGTTGTATCTTCTGGGAGGTCTAGTTAAAAGAACACTTGGTGCAAGGCACACACCCGTTAGCCTTTTCCTCTTGCGGCCGGCCCACCTGAAGCTTGGAGGCGGTGACTGGAGTTCCAGGTGCCATCTCAGACCATGAGGAGTCCTTGAAAATGCTTCTTCACTGGTAAGAATTAGCAAGGCAGAAAGTCTAGGCTCCTGAGGCCTTTGAACCAGCATGCCACCCCTCGGACCATTACTGCAGGTGAATAAAGCCGGAGCTAACACACATCATGCTTACTTTAAATTGTGTTTCTTGGATTTGACTTGTAAATGCCTGTCTTATCCGTGTATAATTTCCTCCTCTAAGCCCCATTTCCCTTCCACACCCCATTCTCTAGGGAATGAATGTTCTCTGCCTGTCTGACTCAAGTCCAAAGCCCCATCGACCTTTTCCACACTCCCCTGGCCTCTCCCTTTCTGGATCCAATGCTACCACAACCCAGACCCGGACGGACGCTGTGTTCTTTATGGCATCGTTCCAAACAGCATCAGGAGTGTCTCAAACAACAGTTCCCTGGGCAGAGCCTCAGCTTGATGTAAAAAGCACCACTCTACTAGGGAGACAGGGAGTGGGCTGAACCCCATCTTCAAGCTACCGGGTGTGCGCGGCAGAGCCGCCGGGGATACTAGACCCCCGCCTCAGCGGTAATGGCTTTCCTGTTTCCTGAGGAGCAGATGGGATCTCAATGGCCTGTGACTGTTGTCTATTTCTTTAAGCAATCTGCGCGGAGCTCAATGCGCCCCTTCCAGGCTACAGGTTGCATAGTCACAGCGGGGATAGCACTGTTTGTAAATCCCTACATGTGCCCTTTCCCTTAGAAGTGTGGCCTCTTTGTTTTCTCCTTCCCTTGCGCTGGAGGAAATGAAGGGAGACGCGGAGCCCTCTGTTTTCAACAGAAGGTTCAGAGTGTAGTAATGGGCTAGTGACACACCGCTACTCACTCAGTGAAGAAAGCAATAAAACAGATCGTTTCTAAACTTGAAAGCGGGATGTGTGTGGGGAAGAAGAAGGGTAGAGTTGGGCAGCGAAGGCATCCTCGGGTGGCAGCTGGAGTTCTGTCAGCTACCACAGATACTTGCTATGACTTGGACTCCTAGTTAGTAATTCTTATGAAATGTTTTATTTTTATGTGCATGGGTGTTTTGTCTGCTTGTATGTCTGTGAACCACGTGTGTGCAGTGCCCAAGGAGGCCAGAAGAGGGCATCAGATCCTCTGGGATTGGAGTTACAGATGGTTGTAAGCAGCCCTGTGAGTGCTCAGAATTGATTCAAGGTCCTCTGGAAGTGCAGCAAGGGCTCTTAACTATGGAGTCATCTCTCCAGTCCCCTTTAATTAGCAATTGTTATGACTTCACGTTTGTTTTGTGCAGTTATCTGTATTTGTGTGGCACACTGAAAATGTCTGCCAGTCGTGTTCTTCGTAGCAGAGGGATTCTGCCTGTCACCATGCCTATCACCTAAAAGTTAGAATGCTGCAGTTATTTTAAAAGCATGTGAGTGTATGAATGTGTGTGTGCACATGCGCGCACACACACACACACACTCTCTTCTCTAATCAGTAAAGTGAGACGTTTACTCTCATTACCCTCATTTTACAGGTGAGGAAAGAGAGGTACATATATGTGATATAACTTGCCATTAGCAAGTGCCCAGGGCACAAGGCAGTCTGAATTTTGCTTATAGTCCATTTGCCCAAGGGTGGAGGGGACGAGCTAGGGTGACTTCACTAGAGGACTTTGGGATTTCCTCAGACAAGAAGCTTTCCATGTAGAAAGTGGGCAGAGTGAAACAGCTGATCATCCTAGTTGGGCTCCTCCTGCCTCTTCCAGATGCAGGGACCATGTTCCCCCAGAACAAAATGCTATGCCGCTGTTGAAGGAGAGTTATAGGACATAAGTAGTCAATGAAATAATAATAATTTAAAAAGGCTCCTTGGGATGGCAGCTTCTTGTACCCAGAAGGCATTAGGAGGGAAAACAGCAGGAAGCTATAGAGTGGAAATATAAACAAGACCAACAGGAGGCAGGGTCAGCTCCCCATTAATAAAAACACTGCTCAAGCCAGCATCCATTGGCTTAAGGGATAAAGTTCTGACTTTCCCTTTCTCTGATGCTTGGTCTTCTGTCTTTTCTGGGTGTGCAGCTCTTTGTCCATGCCAGAAAACGAGCTTGGTGATCCCCTAGATAAATACCAGCACCCCCGTTATACTGTGAGCAGCCAGCACGCATCAGACTGCACACAGAGAAAGGGCAAGGCCTAGCGGCTCTCGGGCTGAGGACTGAGCCAACTTCCTAATTAAAAAGCCTAAGCCAGTCCTGACGCCTAAGGAAGAAAGCTGATGCTGACGCAGGAAGTTTACATTTCTTTATACTGGCTGATCAACCCCCTTGAGACTTCCCGCTAGGTAGACCATGTTTAATAATTCTGTCAGTCGCCATGAGCCATGGCATTAGCAGATGAGGCGCTGTGCCCTCTGCCACCATCCGTCTATAGAACAGAGAGAGAAGAGGACATCCACAAGTGCCACACACATCCCTGCAGCTGGCTCAGGGCTGCTAGGAACGTTCAGCTCATGGTTGGAGGGATGTGTCCTTTCCCTCTGGTTGATGGTGAGTAGGAGGGACACGGGGGAGAAGTGTCGTGAGGACTCTGTCAAAAGGAGTTTGGTGTAGCTGTCATTCATAGGGGTGGGCAGGAGAACAAGAACATTAAAATGGCTGCTCTAAACCAGTCTCACTTGGGTTCCTCGCAGTGCGTCCTTCAACAGTCACTCAGCAAATACTGTCTATTGTATTGTATTGTATTGTATTGTATTGTATTGTATTGTATTGTATTGTCGGCCGTCTGCACTGGTCCTGAGCTTGGAGTGGAACACCCGATTTCTGCTGCCACCTTTACATGGACACGGCCCTCTTCTTCTAAGGATGCCAGTCATACATTGGCATTCAAGGGGCAGAGTCCAACCCACAGCAGCCTTACACTGGTGCTTTAGTGTCCTTATCCACAACAGGAGAATAATAGCACCGGCCTTGAGGGGTCATGGGTCATCACAGCCATGCATATGGAAGACTCTGCAAACAGTGCCTTGAATACAGTCACTGTCTCTTAGGATGTGTCATTTTTTTTCTCATGGTTTGAGATGCTGTTTACCAGCTACTATCTTCAGTTAGGGTGACTATTGCTGTGATGAAACACCATGACCAAAACCAGCTTGGGGAGGACAGGGTTTATTTTCCTTATCATAGTCCATCATTTAAGTCAGGCCAGGAACTCAAACAGGGCAGAATCCTGGGGGCAGGAGCTGATGCAGAGGCCACAAAGGATGCTGCTTACTGACTTGCTCCCCATGGCTTGCTCAGCCTGCTGTCTTATAGAATCCAGGACTGCCATCCACAATGAACTGGGCCCTCCTGTATCAACCACTAATTAAGAAAATGCCCTCCAGGCTTGCCTACAGCCTGATCTTATGGAGGCATTTTCTCCATTGAAGGTCCCTCCTCTCCAATGACTCCAACTTGTATCAAGTTGACATAAAAACCACTACCTTGATTTTACAGTAAGGGTGTTGCTATAGAGATACCTACCTCTTACTGGCATAATAGAACTCCAGTGTGGTTGCCAAGGCCTTCGTGGCACGTGCCTGTTCACCACCCAAACCACTCTATCCCAGGCTTGCTACTCATTGTCAACTTTTAGTTGCCTGAGAACGCTATAACCAGGTTTTGTTTGTCCTGCTGTGCTGTTCCCACCCTAGCGATCCTTCAGATCTCATCTAAACAGCAGCCCTCCAGTTAGTCTGCCCTAACCATGGATTGGGGGGATCCCGTGCTCCAGGTCTCCCTGAAGAATGGATACATTGCTATATGGTTAATGTGCATGGCTTGCCTATGGCCCCCATTCTTCAGTGCTCCTGACATATGGACTACAGGGCCTGGAAAACACTCGTGCTCAGAAGCCATTCCTCATCTCTTTAACCTAGTTGAGCCCGGGTTCCTCTCTGGTATCAAGAACTCCAGAAGATTACAGGGTGGGTGTCTTGGAATGAATTCTCAATTGCATCTAATCCTGAGTAGAAAATAGCACCCATACTATGCCACCCCCACCTCCGAGATCAGAGCCCCGCCTGAGGCTTTCCATGTGACTTTTTAACCAAGGGATATTTACTTTCCATGGCACCGATATAGGGATGGGCAATGATAAGCAGCTATCAGGGGAAGTTGACTTTCCTGCAGTGACTCTAGGACAATAGTGTATAAAAGTCTGGAGTTGGTGCAAAGTTAGGAGCCCATACCTGGCCCTAGCAGCCACAATACCAGGGACACAGAAAAAATGTCCACTTGCTGAGAATGACAGAGCCAGGGTATGGAGAGAGCCTAAGTCCCTGGTGACATGGCTGTGACTACACCAGTCAGCCCTGTCACTGTCCCTGCTAGATGACTTTCAGGATGCTACCCATGTCATGGCAATGATGTTATTTCGTTGTGATGACATCTCGTTCAGGGTCAGTACTCCTTTCCTATTGTTTACATGACGGTTTCTGTCTCTTGAAGGTGCACATTTCTAACGAGTACAGGCATTAGCAGTGTGATTGAATGAACATGTCCTACATGCTAAATACGGTAAAGGAAGAAGAGAGACAAGGGTCCCTTTAATGTATACCACCATGTGAGATCTTCCCAGTAACTGGGGCCAGGGGAGCTCCGCCATTAGAGACGAGAGAAAACCATGCAGCCTATCAAATGCCAGAGTTAGGAAGACCAGAACTGAGTCATGGTTAATCATTGTGTTAGCAATTACCATCTTGTTATCACTTATCTTAGTTCAGACACAGCACAGGATTTTTTTTAAGTTCCTCTCTCTACTTCCCATTGAATTCATATTTTCTCCCTTTCCAGCACTGGGAATGGAACCGAGACCCTGGCAGAGTGTAGGCAGCACTCCACAGCTGAGATGTATCCTCTGCCTCCCATTGACCTCTACCTATTACCTTGGAAATCAGCATCCTGATTTTGACCTGTGCTGACCAATCCCCACTTTGGATCCATATTCCTTTTTATCTAGTCTGCTTAATTCCTCAATGCTGTACCTGTCTGTATCTTCTGTAGGATACAGCACCCACCCTACCCCATGTCTGAGATCGGAGCCCCACAGCGCTTCTAGGAACCTTAACCTAAGATTATTTCCATGCCGCTTGGTCTCCCTAGCCCACTCACCTCTCATCAGGCTTGCCTTGGTCCACATCCACAATGACTTAGAGATGCTCCCAGCCGCCCATTTTAGCTTACTGTGTTGGCTGGAAACCTGGGCAAAGCAGAAGAGACCCCAGGCAGTATTACCATCTTACTATGAGAGCTGAATAGATACATGCAGGCTACATGTATATGCTCTTTAGCAAGCCTAAAAAGAACACAACTCGTGGGTGCAGCTTTCTTTAGCTCTTTTCTCTTCCCCTGGGTAGGAATAGAGAGGGAAAGAGAGAGCACAATTCTTCCTCTATGGGCCAGATACAAACGCTGGAGAGAATGTCTTAGCTGCACCTAGGGAATTTCAAGTGCTTCGCTCCTGCTTCTGGAGGGAAACAAACCACACAGACACGCACATGCACACGCACCCCCACACATACACACATGCACACACACACTGGTTCTTGTATTCAGCAAAGTCTCAGAAACTGGCTGTGGAAAACACCTTATAAACTGGAAATTATGTGCCCTCTAGTGGTCATCTGCAAGACGTTCCAACCAGAAAACAGCCAGGAACCCGCAAACAGAAATGTGTTACCAAAAGAGGATGCTTAATAAATCGTTTTTACTGAAAAACAAATATAGGTCATGAGTGTAAGAATAGACTTCTGAGCTTTTCACAAGCCCCAGCGGGTTTTATCCAAGTCTTGTGAACTTCCAGTGCTAGACTGGCGCTCCAAAGCCAGGGTACTAAGCAGAAGAGTCACTCCCCAGGGCTCCTCCCCGGAAGGGAAGGCTGTTGTGGGCCGGAAAAGATTTGATAAGAAAGTAGAACAGAGGGTTTGTTTTTAATTGCTTCCTGAGAAATGGAAGAGGATGAAGGAAAATGCAAGAAAAGCAGATGGAGGAGGGCTGCGAGTCGCCCGTGCGAGCTACCTCCTGGGTTAGTCTACACTGGGGGTGCTGGGGTAGTTGACGGGGTTATTCAGAACTGCGTGAGAAGCTGGCCTCCAGGACTGATGCAAGGCTCAAAACAGTCTAGACCATATAAGGAGGGAGGCCTGAGCTGAAAATACTTCCTGGGGCAGCGTAGGAGGACAAGGGAGGAAGCCCGGGGACTCCATTAGCTGGGTCGGACCAATTTTAACCAGGTTTCTGCCAGAATCGTAGACACGAGCGAGGTTGAAATCAGTGTTTAGGGTCTCCGGGCGCAGCTTAGAGGAGAAGGGTTGTGTCCAGCGCGCACAAGGCCAGGCCTAGTGCCATCTCTGGCGCCTGGAAGACGGAGGCGGCTGGGCCACAGGTTTACAAACCACAAGCAGCACGGATGCCTACGTGCACACAGTCACAAAACAGTAAGAAACCGTGGTGATGCTCCATGCCAACTCTGAAGTGAGGCATTTGGGGCTCGGGGACAGATCTGTGTCTTAAAGGAATGTGGTGAGCTGCTGGCGTTCCTTGGGTGATCCACGGCGTCGGGGTGGGGGGGGGGTGGCGCGGAGGGGCCAGAGTCCAGGTGAGCATCCTGAAGACCGACCCCGGGCCTGGCTCCCTGGTCTCCCACCGCAGACCTCATCCCACTCTCCTCTTTTTTTCCTGTGGAGAAATGAGCTGGGAGAAACTGTAGTCAAATGTTCTTCTGTGACCTAATCTACTGCCTTTCAAGTAGTGCCAGCCCAGAGCTCTAACCCTGCCGACACATCTGAAAACTCCTCAGCCCATTGTCTGAGGATGGGACCCAGCTGACCTACTAAAGCCCAAATAAGCGCAGTGCAGCTCCTCCCTGTAGTTTTCATGTGTGCCTGGGAACAAGCGTTATGGTCCTGTCCCTGCCTGCGACAAGATTTCTTTCTTCTGCACGGTTGCAGAGCTACTGCTTCGGAGCACGCGCAGTCTGACTCAGGAGCACGCTGAGAGCCAGGTGAGGTTTTATCTGTCTTCACTGTGCTGGGCCCGGAACTTCCTGGCATCTGTTGTGAGTGGGGCATGGGCAGACAGGAGGAATCCATGTGTTTCCTCAGCTTTACAGAAAGTGACAACAGAAGAGAAGGGACACAGTCCTGCGGGGCACTTGTGGCCACATGTAGCATATGGCGCAACACACCAAAGGCATGGTTTACACGTGAGTCCTATATTTTTTTCTACGTGATGAATCATTCTGTTAATACCAAATGCTGTTCCAATCATCTGTACTTTTTTCTCCAAGCATAACAGAGAGAAGAAAAATGTGGAGTCATTTGCTTTGTTTCTTCAACAAAAGAAAGATGTAGACTTATACCGCTTCTTTTGTCCAAAGATCTCAGTATGCCTACCCACCTGGTATCGTATTTGTCTTTGGTTCATCCCTAAAAAGTCAATAAATGGTTATGCTGGCAGCACTACCAGGGAAGATAGGAATATGCTGGCTGGTTGCTGCTCACCACAAGGGGGAGCCATTGCATCCTCCTAGATAATCATTCACACAGCAGTCGGGGCTGGTTCTACACCTGAAACAGCCCCGCAAGGAGCTGCCAACTGTAACAGCAGAAAGTGGGCAGGGATTCCAAAAGGAGAGAAAATGGGTGCTCGGGAAAAATGCCTTAGATGATGCAGATACAGAAGGACTATTTCCATGAGCCAAGAAGTAGAAACAATGTCAGGACCAGATGGCGTGATAAACAATGCTAACAAGATACACTGCAGTGGAACATTACACAGCCTGAAAATCTATAGTTCTGACCTACAGGTAGCACTTGGGTGAACCTGGAAAATATCATGCTAAGTGGAAGATCATGGAGGCAAAGGCACCATTGCATAGTCTCAGATGTATATGAAATAGAACATGCAAATTATACAAATACAATACAGACCGTTGACTTCCAGCAGCAAGTAGTGTTGGATAGGGACAGACTGCTTAGCAAATATGAGGTTTATTTGGGGGCAGGGAAATGCTGGGGAACCCAGGAGAGTGTAGCCCTGTGTGTGTTGTAGGCCACGGGATTCTTCACTTTAGAATGATAAATTGTGTTATGTGAAATTTTATCATTATCATTATTATTATTATTGGTCTTTCAGGACAGGGTGTCTCTGTGTAGTCCTGGCTGTCCTAGAACTCACCCTGTAGATCAGGCTAGCCTAGAACTCATAGGAATGCCTGCCTCTGCCTCCTGAGTGCACACCATCACTGCCCAGTTTGCTATGTAAATGTATCCCAATAAATTTTTTTCAATAAAAACATTTGAGTGATGCATTAGACAACAGATGTCTGGGACAGGACAGTGATATCTCGTCAGACACCACCCTAGAAGGAACATTTGAGACAACAAATATAATGTATAATAAAGAAGTAATATAAAGCTAACAATGTGGTGGGGCTGCCCTGAGTTGTCTTACATACTGGGGGGAGGGGTCACACGGGGACTGAAGATGGGAGAGGGCTCTTGTTACTGGTGGCCACAGTCACTAACTGGGCTGGTTGTTTCAGGTTCTTGGTGTCCTATGTAAAGCATTATTTATATACACACAGATACACCAAAGAATAGGGAAATTTTATTCAAAGCAAAACGACAGTACACCTTAGACCCTGTCATGAGTGACAGTGGGCCACCTGAGTGAGAGTACTTGAAGGCCCTGATGATTGGGAGCAGGGGATTCTTTTAATGTGGTTTGGAAGAAGGTGGAGCTAGGTTTCTACGTGGCGTACCTTGGGTAGTTCTGTTTTGAGTAACAGGTTTGAGTTATATAAGTCTCTGCTTCCTGCGCATGTCCTCTCCCGTAATAAACTGATTGCAGTCCTATGTGTGCTCAAGTATGCAGAGGGAGCACCTCCTAAAAGTTCACTTGGAGGACAGTTTGCCTTGTTGCACAGGCATTAAAAACCAGTTCAGGCCAGATCAGACCATCTCTCTTGGTTCCAGACATGTTCCAGGACATGTTTGAATAGAAATAGACATTATAAGGGGATTTTATGTAGAGTAATTTACTTCAGTTGTTTGAAGCATGCGACAGTTTGACGCAAATGGGGGTCTCAGGGGCTAAAAAGTCATTAGGCAGGTTGTTCAGGGACAGGTGCGTGTGCACCATACTTTCAGGTAAGTCTCGGGCTGCCAAACGCATTCTCAGGAGAAGGATGTGTGGCCCAAAGCAAGTGAAGTCCAAGGCTGCTGCTATCCCTTATACTCGCCTGCCTCACTGACAAAAGCCGCAAGTATTTCTGCCAAGGATGGCAAATAGATGGTGGATTTATTTTCACTAAGTCTATATCCTGTGAAAGGCAATTCTAAACATTTACACCGAATAAGGATAGGAGTTGCCAGGCTGCACACCCTCTCCTGGGCTCCACACTAGGGCCCACAGCCCCAGTCAGAGTGATCCTAGGGACCCCAGGAAAGACACCACCCATCACCTGCTAACACTCCTTAAAACCCACCCAACAGTACCAGAGTGCACCCCCTCCCCTAGGCTCCATATCCTGGTCTACAACTTTGGAAATAGACTTCAGCTTCACTGGAGCACAGGCCAGATCTAGGGAGCCCTGCCCCAGCAGCTGTACTGAAAGCCAGGCTGGCCCTAGAACTCCAGGTAAGACACAACTCACCACCCACTAAACCCCTTTAAGCTGGCCCAAAATTCTCAGACTGCACCCCCTCCCCTGAGCTCCATATCCTGAAATACAACTGCAGAAGATTGCAGCTTTACCAGAGGCCAAACTGGATCTAAGGACCCCAGGTCCCAAAAACCCCAGAGGAGACACCCTACTGAGCCTGAAGACTTGCTAGTCACTAGAACCCTTGGCCATTTAGGCCAGAAGACCAGAAAGGAAAGAGAAACCAAGAAACAAAACACCCACCCAACAAAGACAAACACAGGAATCGATACCTAGACCTATAACCATCCCAAATCCAGATGCCTAAAAGCCAGCATAAGAACACAGTAACAGAAAAGGCAACATGGCACCACCATAACCCAGCTATCCAATGACAGTAAGACCTGGACAATCCAACGTAGCTGAAATACAAGAACAACTTTACAAATGACTTTATGGAGATGATAGAGGTCCTTAAAAAGGAAATTTTTAAAATCCCTTAAAGAAATAGAGGAAAGGAAAAATAAAAAATTGAATGAAATCAATAAATCCCTAAAAAGAATGCCCCCCAAAAGCCAAGAAAAATAAACAAACAAGTGAAGGAAACTGTTCAAGACCTAAAAATGAAAATAGAAGCAATAAAGAAAACAAAAATAGAGGGAATCCTGGAAATGGAAAATCTAGGTAAGCAACCAGGAACTACAGATGTAAGTATCATCAACAGAATACAAGAAATAGAATAGAAAATCTCAGGTGTCAAAGACACGATAAAGGAAGCAGATTCATCAGTCAAAGAAAATGTTAAATCTAAAAAATTCCTAACACAAAACATTCAGGAATTCCAGGAGACTATGAAAAGAACAGACGTAAGAATAATGGGAATAGAAGAAGGAGAAGAAACTCAGCTTAAAATCCCAGAGAATACATTTAACAAAATCATAGAAGAAAAATTTCCCAACCTAAAGAAGGACGTACCTTATAAAAGCACAAGAAGCTTACAGATCACCAAGCAGATTGGGTCAGGAAAGAAATTGCCCATGCCACATAATAATCAAAACACTAAACATACAGAGCAAAGAAATAATATTAAAAGCAGCAAGGGGTAAAGACCAAGTAACATATAAAGGTAGAACTATTAGAATCACACCCTACTTCTCAGTGGAGATCCTAAAATCCAGATGGGCCTGGACCAATGTCTTGCAGACCCTAAGAGACCAAGAATGCCAGCCAAGACTTGTTGTGGGATATTAGTTTAAGATGCATTACATATGTTTAACTGTGGGATATTTGTTTAATGATGCAAAGATGTGTTGCATTCTTTTATGTTGCATTTGTTTTACTCTGTAAAGCTGTGTTATTTTGCCTCTATAAAACACCTGATTGATCTAATAAAGAGCTAAATGACCAATATCTAGGCAAGAGAGGACTAGCCAGGGCTGTCAGGCAGAGAGAATAAATAGGAGAAATCTAGGTTCAAGGGAAGGGGGAGGATTAAGAAAATGAAAAGGAGAGGAAGATGCCAGGGGCCAGCTACCAAGCCACACAACCAGTCACAGAGTAAGAAGGAAAGAAAGACATATAAAATAAAGAAAACGTCCAGAGACAAAGGTAGATGGAAGAAGTTAAGAGAAACTGACCAAACATAAGCCAAGCTAAAGCTGAGCATTCATAAGTAAGAATAATTCTCCACATATTGGGGGGGCTGGGTGGTTCCCTAAAGCATTTTTAAAAAAGAAACCAACTACATTTTGGCATTCTTCATACTAAGCAGAAACAAAAAACTAAGTGAAAAAATGCCTGCCACAGTTCAGGGCACTGGCTTTCCAGTACTGGGTTGGAGGGGGTGACTGAATGCAGTTCCTGGTCACCTACCAGTGACTGTGCATGGACCCAAGGTGGATGAAGCCAGCCGCCGAACCCGGGTGGAGGTCTTAGCCACCACTTAGCAGTTTAAAGGCTCTTATGGTCAGAAAAGTACAGAGATATGAAGTAAAGAGGTCCAGAAGGACAAATAAAACCTCTAAACAGGTTCTAGTGTGTTTAAAATGTGCATAGGCACATCTGAACCTTTCATTCCAGCACTTGTAGTTATCCTATTGCGATCCACTTCAGGTGAATTCTCCTTGCTTTCCTATTTCCTTATATGTCTGCTCCTCACGTCATTCTCCTACAGGTTTGTCTGCCATGACTTGTGTCATGTCTTAAATATTCTTTGCTTGTTAAACAGTCCAAGGATAGAATCATTTCATGATCACTTCTGCCTGACTACTTCTCAGTCTACATAGGAAAGACGTGGTGCTTTACTGTGTCTTAATGAATATGTTACTACGTCTCCACTAATATCTACTCTCCATTAGCGGTACTACTTTCCATTTTTTTCAGTTATCTAGAGTGAGTAGTGAACAAAAAAATATTAAATTGCAAATGCAGAAGTAAATGCCATACAAATTTGAACCAAAACATCACAAAATCTAATGATGTATCTATGTTGTGCTTCATCTTACTGGGAATGACAATCATCCCTTGTTGCAGAATATTTATGTGCCACACTCTAACTACCCATCGGTTACTTTGCATTCCTTCTTGGCATTCTAACCTTGCAGAATCACAGTACTTTTGTGCAAGTAACCATTATCTAAATTTATAAAACCTCTGTGTAAGAGTAATGATGCTGACAATTTTATTATGAAAAAAATTCTTAATGTACTCCCTTAAATAAAAAATTGTATTCATCAATGTAATAAATAAAAATGTTTGCTTCAGTTATAAAAAAAAGCAGTGCATAGGCTTAAGAAAGAAAAGAGAAAGGATATAGACAGTCATAGAAGGAAAGAAATAGGTTAAAAATAATAAAGTCTTTAAAGAGAGAATAAAAGTAATATAAAAGAAAAAGTTCAGGTACTGATGTAAAATACACAGGAAGTCTGGATAAACTAGCCTAGATATTTTAAGAATGCCTTAACTTTAATATGGAACTCACAAAATGTATTGCTTTGGAGAAGAGGTTTTGCTTTTGTTCCCACAGGAGGGGAAAAGCTATGTATTCCTTCCAGGTTGACATGAATCAGGTTTGATGGGGGAGAACTCCTGAATCTTGATAGGTGATATATATCAACAAAGGTTATAGCTGATCTTCCCAGGACTTGGCCATTATCTCAGTTTCCTCAAGAACCCCTAAGGATGCCTTTGCCCACAGACAACAGGAAGCAGTCTGGAGAATGACACCCAATTCCCAAGAGATGGAGTGGGTGGTGGTTCATTATTTGGTGGGTTGTGGATGTTTGTTATCATTTAGGGGAATATAGGATAAAAAGACAACTATTAATCTCAGATATTTTGCATTGTCATGGATTTTGGTATATTGATACAAATTTAAAGTTATTTTTATTGTACTGTGCATAGGTTTCTACTTTTCTCTGGGGTATTGTGCTTTGCAGCTCATTTAAAAATGCAATGTATAATTAAGAAATTAGTTAAACTATAATAATCAAACTTGTAGTCACATTAGGTATGTTTTCCAGGTTAAACAGGTAGATGATTTTCAAACTCTTCAAAGACCTAAAGAATATGTCATTTAAGATGTTTAATAACCTAAGGTTTTTCATGACAATAAGACACATCTGCTCCTGGCAACACCAATACTTCATAAAAGGATGATGAGCATCAAAGAAACTCCATATGGAGTTTGCTCTCAATATGGCAAGGTTAGCCATTTGGGTCAGAAACTGCTCTTGCCTTGACTTCTGACAATGTGCTGAGCAAACTGGACCAGTGGG